GAAACTACTTGAAATGTTTTTTTTTTTTTTAAAGATGGGGTTTCACCATGTTGGTCAGGCTGGTCTTGAACTCCCGACCTCAGGTGATCCATCTGCCTTGGCCTCCAAAGTGCTTGGATTACAGGCATGAGCCACCATGCCCAGCCTAATGTTTTTTTCTTTTTTCTTTTGAGATGGAGTTTCACTCTTGTTGCCCAGGCTGGAGTGCAATGTCGAGATCTTGGAATCTCAGCTCACTACAACCTCCGCCTCCCGAGTTCAAGTGAGTCTCCTGCCTCAGCCTCCTGGAAGTAGCTGGGATTACAGGTGCCTGCCACCACGGCCAGCTAATTTTTGTATTTTTAGTAGAGATGGGGTTTCACTATATTGGCCAGGCTGGTCTTGAACTCCTGACCTCAGGTGATCCACCCACCCGAGCCTCTCAAAGTTCTGGGATCACAGGCCTGAGCCCTGCCTTTTTTAATTAATTTATTTTTTGAGAGAGAGTCATGCTCTGTCGCTCAGGCTGGAGTGTACTGGAGCTGTCTGGGCTCACTAAAACCTCTGCCTCCCAGGTTCAAGCAATTCTCCTGCCTTAGCCTCCTGAGGAGCTGGGAATACAGCTGCATGCCACCACACCCAGCTAATTTTTTGTATATTTAGTACAGATGGGCTTTCACTATGTTTTGTTTTTTGTTTTTGTTTTTGTTTTTTAGCGAACAGCTCCTTGCTGTAGGGTTTCACTATGTTGGCCAGGCTGATCGCCAGCTCCTCACCTCATGATCCGCCCACATCAGCCTCCCAAAGTGCTGTGATTGTAGGCATGAGTCACTGCACTCAGCCTGAAATTTTGTTGTTGTTTTTGTTTTTGAGATGGAGTCTCACTCTCTGGCCCATGCTGGAATGCAGTGGCAGATCTTGGCTCACTGCTAACTCCACTTTCTGAGTTCACCATGTCGGTAAGGCTGGTCTTGAACTCCTGCCTCAGCCTCCTGAGTAGCTGAAATTACAGGCTCCTGCCACCATGCCTGGCTTGTATTTTTAGTAGAGACAGGGGTTTTGCCATGTTGTCCATGCTGGTCTGGAACTCATGACCTCAAGTGATCCTTCTACCTTGGCCTCCCAAAGTGCTGGGATTACAGGTGTACGCCACAACACCTGGCCTAAATCTGTCTTTTTTAAATTAATATTAACCATTTATCCAAAGTTATACAAAAATTCAAAGGATTAAAGTCTTCTTTGACATGTTTAAAACCATTTCAAGGTAGGCATAGCTGGGATGACAGGCACCTGGCATCACACCCGGCTAATTTTTGTATTTTTTGTAGAGATGGAGTTTCACCATGTTAGTCAGGCTGGTCTCGAACTTCTGAGCTCAAGTGATCCACCAGCCTCGGCCTTCCAAAGTGTTGGGATTACAGGCACAAACCTCCATGCCTGGCCTACAAAGCTTTTCATCTTGAAGCTTCATCTGGTTTTATTTTTCCCCAGAATAGAGCCCAATATCAAGGATTTATCTGATTTTCTTTCCTTTTTATGTATTTATTTTTTTGTTTGCCTTCTGAGCATGCTTACTCTCTGGAGAAGAAAATCAGTTCCCTTACTTTATGCTAATGAATCATTTTCATTTCTTTTATTTTTTTTTTTTTGAGACCGAGTTTTGCTGTTGTTACCCAGACTGGAGTACAATGGCACGATCTCGGCTTATCGCAACCTCCGCCTTCTGGGTTCAAGCAATTCTCCTGCCTCAGCCTCCCGAGTAGCTGGGACTACAGGCGCGCACCACCATGCCCAGCTAATTTTTGTATTTTTATTAGAGACGGGGTTTCACCTTGTTGACCAGGGTGGTCTCGATCTCTTGACCTCGTGATCCACCCATCTTGGCCTCCCAAAGTGCTGGGATTATAGGCGTGAGCCACTGCGCCTGGCCTAATGAATCATTTTCAACTGAAAATAGTAGAGTCAATTTTGAGCATTGCCATCCTCCACTGACCTCCCTTCATCATATGGATTTGTTCCACAAAACTTCTGGCCCTTTCAGACAAGCAAATACTCCTTCGAAGGATGAAAAGTTGGGCTGGGTATGGTGGTTCATAACTGTAATCCCAGCACTTTGGGAGGCTGAGGTGGGTGAATCACCTGAGATCAGGAGTTTAAGACCAGCCTGGATAATATGGTGAAACTCTGTTTCTACTAAAATTAAATAATCTATGAAATTTAGCCCGGCGTGGTCACATCGCGCCTGTAATCCCAGATGCTTGGGAGGCTGAGGCAGGAGGAGAATCACTTGAACCCAAAGATGAAGGTTGCAGTGAGCTGAGATCACAACACTGTACTCCTGCCTGGGTGACAGGGTGAGACCCCATTTCAAAGAAAAAAGAAAAAAAGAGCCAGGTGCAGTGGCTCGTGCCTGTAGTCCCAGCTACTCGGGAGGCTGAGGTGGGAGGATCGCTTGAGCCCAGGAGTTCTGGGCTGTAGTGTGCTATGCCGATTGGGTGTCCGCACTAAGTTAGGCATTAATATGGTGACCTCCCGAGAGCTGGGGACCACCACGTTGCCTAAGGAGGGGTGAACTGGCCCAGGTCGGAAATGGAGCAGGTCATAACTCCCGTGCTGATCAGTAGTGGGATTGCACCTGTGAATAGCCAGTGCACTCCAGCCTGGGCAACATAGCAAGACCCTGTCTCAAAAAAAAAAGAAAAATAAAAAAAATAAAAGCTTGTGCTGGCCTAGGGGCTTACACCTGTAATTCCAACAGTTTGGGAGGCTGAGACCAGTAGATCTCCTGAAGTTGGGAATTTGAAACCAGCCTGACCAACATGGAGAAACACCCATCTCCACTAAAAATACAAAATTAGTGAGACATGGTGGCACATGCCTGTAATCCCAGCTACTCAGAAGGCTGAGGCAGAAGAATCGCTTGAACAAGATCTCCCGATTGTACTCCAGCCTGGGCAGCAAAAGAAAAAGTCTGTCTTGAAAGAAAAGAAGAAAAAAGGAAAGGAAAGGAAAGAAAAGAAAATAAGGAAGAAAGGAAGGAAGGAAAGAGAGAGAAAGAAAAAAGAAAGAAAACGTATCAAAAGTGTAGTATCTCAAAAGGCCCCTATTTGATGGTAAAGACTTAAATGTGTATGTTTCGGCACAGGTTTTATTTTTCAAAGAATATTTCATCTTACTGAATATTTGTTGAATAAAATTGTAAGAAAAAAATGTATGTTTCAATCTCTCCAAATTGCAAAAAAATGCTAAATCTTCCCATGGACTTCATTGAATGCCAAAATCATTGAAAACTAGGCTTAATGGCTATGGAATCAATTTCCAAAAATGTAAGATTCTCCTTTAATAACTCCATTAGAGTTACAATATTAAGGCTGAAGCATCCAATCCAGAAACTGCACCATCCTTTTCCAAGGACATGGTTTCATCATTTAAAGACTGATGCCAGGCTATGGGTGGTGGCTCATGCCTTTAATCCTGACACTATTTTTTTTTTTTTTTTTTTTTGCGACTGAGTTTCACTCCTGTTGCCCAGGCTGGAATGCAATAGTGAGATCTCAGCTCACTGCAACCTGCCTCTGCCTCCTGGATTCCAGAGATTCTCCTGCTCAGCCTCCTGAGTAGCTGGGATTACAGGCACATGCCACTACACCCAGCTAATTTTTTGTACTTTTAGTAAAAACAGAGTTTCACCACGTTGGCCAGGCTGGTGTTGAACTCCTGACCTCAGGCGATCCACCCACATTGGCCTCCCAAAGTGCTAGGATTACAAGCATGAGCCACTGATCCCGGCCAATCCTAGTACTTTGGGAGGCCCAGATGGGTGGATCACCTCAGGTCAGGAGTTTGAGACCAGCCTGGCCAACATGGTGAAACCCCATCTCTACTAAAAATACAAAAATTAGCTGGGCATGGTGGTGGGCACCTGTAATCCCCAGCTACTCAGGAGGCTGAGATAGAATCATTTGAACCTGGAAGGCGGTGGTTTCAGTAAGCGAAGACTGCTCCATTGAACTTCAGCCTGGACAAGAGCTAAATTCTGTCTCAAATAATAATAGTAATAACATTATAGGCTGGGCGCAGTGTCTCACGCCTGTAATCCCAGCACTATGGGAGGCCGAGACAGGTGGATCACCTGAGTTCAGTAGCTTGAGACCAGCCTGACCAACATGGAGAAACCCCATCTCTACTAAAAATACAAAATTAGCTGGGCGTGGTGCTACATGCCTCTAATCCCAGCTACTGGAGAGGCTGAGGCAGGAGACTCCCTTGAACCTGGGAGCCGGAAGTTGTGGTGAGGTGAGATCGCGCCATTGCACTCCAGTCTGGGTAAAAAGAGTGAAACTATGTGCAAAAAAAAAAAGATATATTACCATAAGTACTACAAAGGGGCAGGTCCTCATTTTGCTGGGTGTCCTGCCCTATTCCAGGTGACCCAGGAACAAGAGATAGAAAAGGTCACAAACCTAGCACTCAAGTTTTCTTTTCTTTTTTTTTTTCTGAGGCAGGGTCTCACTCTGTCACCCAGGCTAAAGTTCAGTGAGTTGATCACGGCTCACTGCCTCCTTGGTTAAAGCGATCCTTCCGCCTTGGCCTCCCAAGGATCTGCGACCACAGGTACGTGCCACCACGCCAGACCAATTTTTAAATCGTTTTTTCTAAAGATGAGGTTTTACCACGTGCCCAGGCTGGTCTCGAACTCCTAAATTTAAGGGATCCTCCCGCCTCCGCCTCCGCCTCCCAAAAACTGGGATTACAGGCCTGAGCCACTCCCTCTGGCCGGCACTCAAGGTTTAAAAAATCATTCCTGAGTTCTCTTGCCAAACCACTGAGTACCTTCATAATCGCCCATCCCTAGTGAAGCAGTTTACCCAAATGACTCTATTTACCCTCTCGAATTGATTCGGGGAAAGGTAAGTCTCTTTAACCTCATATCATCCCACTGGGCTGAGAAAATTGAGGAAACAGTGAGGGGAGGGGAGGTCCACATCTTCCGCTTCCGTTCCCCACCAGAACGAGAAGCCGGAAGCCAGGATTTCTGACATCCCAGTCCCAAGCCCGCTGCTTCCCGAGAAAGAGGCGGCAAACTCCACCCAGCTCTTTCCTGCAGAAACGCACTGGGACGCAGACACCGCCAGGCCGCATCTCCTGGGCGCTGCAGGTGGAGGCAGGGTAAATGGTGGGCTGAGGAGGCCGAGGGCAAAGGTGGGCACACTCGAGTGGGTACCCCTCGGTCCCGACGAGTCGCTTCCTGGATGATGTATCCTTAAGATTTTAGAAAAATACCTTATATTTTTCCTCAAAATCACATAAGTATGTTTCATTAGCTCAACTAGCTACAATAAGATCTGTAGGGGGCCAGGTGCGGCGGCTCATGCCTGTAATCTCATTTTGGGACCCAAAGGCGAGTAGATCACTTGAGCTCAGCTCGAGACTCCAGCCTGGTGACAGAGCAAGTCTCTGTTTAAAAAAAAAAAGCCGGGCGCGGTGACTCACACCTGTAATCCTAGCACTTTGGGAGGCCGAGGTGGGTGGATCACCTGAGGTCAGGAGTTCAAGACCAGCCTGACCATCATGGTGAAACCCCATGTTTGTTTTAAAAAATAAAAAAAAAAATTAGCTGGGCATGGTGGCTGCACTCGGGACGCTGAGGCAGGAGAATCACTTGAACCCATGAGGTGGAGGTTGCAGTGAGCCAAGATTGTGCCATTGCACTCCAGCCTAGGCTACAGAGTAAGACTTGGTCTTTTTTTTTTTTTTTTTTTTTAAAGAAGTGGGTCAGGCGCGGTGGCTCAGGCCTGTAATCCCAGCACTTTGGGAGGCAGAGGTGGGCAGATCACGAGGTCAAGAAATCGAGACCCTCCTGGCCAACATTGTAAAATCCCGTCTGTACTAAAAATACAAAAATTAGCCAGGCGTAGTGGCCGGTGACTGCAGTTCCAGCTACTTGAGAAGCTAAGGCAGGAGAATCGCTTGAACCTGGGAGTTGGAGGTTGCAGTGAGCCAACATCTTGCTGCTGTACTCCAGCCCAGGTGACAGAGTGAGATTCTGTCTCAAAAAAAAAAAAATCTGTAGGGGAGGTTATTTTCCTCTAGGGATATTTATTTATTTTATTTTCCTTCTACAACCATAGCACCCACCAAAGGATGCGTACGTGGACATGAACATGGTTGTTTTAGAAATAGCTTTTATTTTTTTTTCCTCCTGCATAGTTTTTTTTTTTTTTTTTTTTGAGACGGAGTTTCGCTCTTGTTACCCAGGCTGGAGTGCAATGGCACGATCTCGGCTCACCGCAACCTCCGCCTCCTGGGTTTTCAGGCAATTCTCCTGCCTCAGCCTCCTGAGTAGCTGGGATTACAGGCACGCCCCACCATGCCCAGCTAATTTTTTGTATTTTTAGTAGAGACGGGGTTTCACCATGTTGACCAGGATGGTCTCGATCTCTTGACCTCGTGATCTACCCGCCTCGGCCTCCCAAAGTGCTGGGATTACAGGCCTGAGCCACCACACCCGGCCTGATGTTTTAATTTTTTAGAGACATAGTCTTGCTCTGTTACCCAGGCTGGATGGAGTACAGTGGTGCAGTCATAGCTCACTGCAGCTGTGAACTCCTGAGCTCAAGGGATCCTCCCACTTCAGTCTCCCAAGTAGCTGGGGCTACAGGCCTATGCCACCATGTCTTGCTGGTTTTGGTTTTTTTTTTAATTAATTAATTTATTTATTTTAGAGGCAGAATCTAGCTATGCTGGTCTTAAACTACTGGCCTCAAGCAATCCTCTTGCCTTGGCCTCCTAAAGTGCTGGGATTATAGGCGTGAGCCACCATGCCTAGCCTATGCATGTCTCAATTGCCCCACTGCTGCTTGGTAATGAGGATTAGCTTCATACTCTATCTACCACAACACGCGCTGAGTGCAGAAGGAAGCTCAGCAACTACTGAAAGATACTTGCCCCATTTGGCCTCTTGAATTTTGCATAAATGTTGTTTGCTCATGCTGCAGTTTTCATATTTCTTAGGTTCTTTTAGTCCTGAAATCTGAGTGGATATGGGTTCAGAACAATCTTGGCAGTAGTTCTTACCAAACTATCAGATGCAGTACATATGTTTCTTCATGGGGTGAGGGGGGAGTAGGAGTGTGACTTAACAATCAAGGGAAAGTAATGTGAGTTTCTTTAATTGCACTGAGATATGCCAAGATTGTGCCAATGTTTATATTTCTCTGTGCAGGACGCCCTCCAGATTGCAGTAAATATTGGCTAGAAGTGGCAGTATTAAAATCTAATGATAAGTCATTATGAGCTTTCAAATTAAAAGAAAGAGTCTGAGTGAGGTGGTTTATGCCTCTAATCTCAGCACTTTGAGAGGCTGAGAAGGGAGGGTCACTTGAGGCCAGAAGTTCAAGATCAGCCCGGGCACCATAGTGAGAGCTCCGTCACTACTAAAAATCTTGTTTTTTTTTTTTTATTTGAGACGGAGTTTCACTCTTGTTACCCAGGCTGGAGTGCAATGGCACGATCTCGGCTCACCACAACCTCCGCCTCCTGGGTTCAGGCAATTCTCCTGCCTCAGCCTCCGGAGTAGCTGAGATTACAGGCGCGTGCCACCATGCCCAGCTAATTTTTTGTATTTTTAGTAGAGACAGGATTTCACCATGTTGACCAGGATGGTCTCGGTCTCTTGACCTCGTGATCCACCCGCCTCGGCCTCCCAAAGTGCTGAGATTACAGGCTTGAGCCACCTCGCCCGGCCCTAAAAATCTTTAAAAAATAGCTAGGAGGCCGAGCATGGTGGCTCACGCCTATAATCCCAGCACTTTGGGAGGCCGAGGCGGGTGGATCACGAGGTCAAGAGATCGAGACCATCCTGGCCAACATGGTGAAACCCTGTCTCTACTAAAAATACAAAAAATTAGCTGGGCATGGTGGCGCGCACCTGTAGTCCCAGCTACTCGGGAGACTGAGGCAGGAGAATTGCTTGAACCCGGGAGGCGGAGGTTGCACTGAGCCGAGCCGAGATCGCGCCACTGTACTCCAGCCTGGCTCCTGGCGAAGGAGCGAGACTCTGTCTCAAAAAAAAAAAAAGAAAAAAAAATACAAAAAATTACCTGGACGTGATAGCTCACATCTGTAGTCCCAACTACTCAGGAGGCTGAAGCAGGAGAATCGCTTGCACCCAGGAGGCGGAGGTTGCAGTGAGCTGAGATGGTGCCACTGCACTCCAGCCTGGATGACAGAGTGAAACTCTCTCAGAAAAAAAAAAAAAAAAAAAAGACCAGAAAGACTGCCCCATGCACATCTGTAGAAGTGGAGTTTTAACCTGAGCATTCCATTTGTGCTTGACACAGAAATGGAAGATTCAGTGCTCCCCCAGCAGGTGAGTTTCAGGGTCTGAAGAATTGCCTGTCCGTGCCCGCTGCCTGGCCTCCAGCACCCGCTTCATCCTGCTCGCTCTCTCGTGTTGCCCCTCGGAGCAGCAGCCGCCGCGACCGCCGCGACCCAGAAAGAAGTCAGAGACCCTGCGAGGTCGCTGCCACCGCCATGTCCAAGAATAAAGGTAAAGGAGGAAAAATAGACGTAAAGGTAAGAATTGAGAACGAATCTGAAAAAAAGAGAACTGGTATTCAAAGAGGTTGGTCAGGAGTGTGCTCAGGTAATCACACTGTTGGGAAATGGACGGCTACAAGCAATGTGTTTTGATGGCGTAAAGAGGTTATGTCACATCAGAGGAAAATTGAAAGAAAAGGTTAAGATGAATACCTCTGACATAATATTGGTTGGTCTCCGAGACTACCAGGATAACAAAGCTGATGTAATTTTAAAATACAATGCAGAGGAAGCTAGAAGTCTGAAGGCATATGGTGAGCTTCCAGGCATGCTAAAGTCAATGTAACTGATACATTTGGTAGGGAGATGAGGATGAAATTCAGTCTGATGACATTGGAGATGATGATGAAGATTTGACGACATCTAAACTGAACTCAAGATTTTACATTCCATCTTTTCTGAAGATTGTCCTACGGTTTGGATTTTGGCCATGATAAGAAGATTAAAATTTCATTAGCATGAATACAGTTCGTTAAAGCAGGGGGAAAAAAAAGAAGTGCCTTTCAACAGAAGACTTCTTAAGGAACTGCCGTTTTAACATGGGTATATTTTTTAAAGCCTATGCCTTTTTTTCTTTCTTTTTTTGGTTAATGTCAGATATTAGGTTACTCTCTGTGGGAAAGTTTACTTCTCTTTTAAAAAGAATAATTTAAAGTCTTTGATATAAAAATACTGGGAATTTTTATATCCCAATATTTGCCTCTGCAAAATAGATCTCCGGAAATGTATGTTTTATATTTAGAAACTGCCAGCATCTAGAACACCAGGACATTTTCTCACGGACATGTGAAAATACATTGTCAGCTGGGCACTGTGGCTCACGTCCATAATCGTAGCACTTTGTGAGGCCAAGGCAGGTAGATTGCCTGAGCTCAGGAGTTTGAAACCAGCCTGGCCAACAAGGTGGCAGCCTGGGTGGCAGAGCAAGACTCTTAGAATACTGGAGTAAAAATCTGACTCTTAATTGGTTAAAATTCAAATGAGCACAGTTCTCAGCTCTCCAATTAATCTCTACTGTGTTTCGGCTGCTAGTACTCCAGAAGTTACCGTTTTTTTGAATTTTTTTTTTTTTTGCCAGACAGAGTTTCACTCTTGTTGCCCAGGCTGGAGTGCAGTGGTGAGATCTTGGCTTCCTGCAACCTCTACCTCCTGGATTCAAGCGATTCTCCTGCCCTAGCCTCCTGAGTAGCTGGGATTACTGGCACCCACCACCATGCCTGGCTAATTTTTTGTATTTTTAATAGAGACAGGGTTTCACCATGTGGGCCAGGCTGGTCTTGAACTCCTGACCTTGGGTGATCCACCCACTTCGGCCTGCCAAAGTGCTAGGATTACATGCATGAGCCACCGAGCCAGGCCTTGTACTTTCTTTTTTGTAGGAAATTCTGAGTAGTCCCTGTGGTGAGCTGGAGGTCTGGCTCCCTCTTGGGGCATTAGCTTCTTCACCAAGGTTTATTGACTACAGCTCTCAGAAAGGAAAACAAAAGCCTGCCCACCGGGCTCACGCCTTTGTTGTTCCGACTCAGTCTCAAAACAAAACAAACAAACAAACAACAACAATAAAAAGC